AGGCCAGGCAAGAGGGTGCATGTGAGTCAGAGGCCTCGCATCCACCCGCATGTGTGCAGGGGAGAGGCTTGGGTCGTAGACGAGGAATCCAGATGGCAGAGGCTTGTCCCGAGGCAAGGCAGAAGCTGGAAGCCAGCCCCACCCAAAGCCCCCACACCCAGGCACCACCAGGCAGCCTGCTCCTGAGACCTGTTGGGTCTCCCTGCCCTTGACCATCCCCCTGCCCCCAGAGGTGGGCGAAGCTCCCTCTTCCGGGTGGTGCCCCAAGGCCATCTGAAGCCGCCACCAAGGGTCTTGGGAGGGGTTATGGTGAATGGGTGAATGGAAGCAGGAACCAACAGGGAAACTGAGTCCCAGGGAAGTGCAGCTCCCTGGCGTCCAGAGCCCACAGTGCAGGGCCGCCTCCTGCTACCCCAGGGGCTGTCCGATGAGGCACACCCCATCAGGGCCCCAGCTCTGGCCCAGGTGGGCCGTACTCCCCCACCCAAGTTTGGGCCCCTTGTCTTCAAGCGAGGATTCTGGAGAAGACAGCACCGAGCCCACGGCGCCCAGGGGAGCTTTGGGGCCCGGGCAACACCACAGGCCAGGCTGAGCCCGTCTGGGGCCCTCGGTGCCAGCTGAAGGGAGCTGGGGCCACACCGAGGCCACGTCCACTAACCCTAGACATGAGGACGCTGCTCTGAAATAAAGGCTGAAGCCATGGGGCCTCCCTGGCCTCCTATCTCAGCCACCGGCCTCCACTGCCAGCAGGAGCCGGACCCCTAAGAATGAGGTGGGCCTTTAAGCAGCACAGCCAAAGCCCACCACGGCCCCTCAATACCGAGGGTCCCTCTGCTCCTGGGGAGGCCTGTGCGGCAGCCCCCTGCCCTTCCCGTAGGCCTTCTCACCAGGCACTGCCACGGAGACTGAGGTGCCTCCCAGAGCACCTCTCACAGGGACAGCCACGTGCCCACTTCCCCCTGCCCTGCTCACTCCATGCCTGGGCACCACGCCTGACCTGCCTCTCCACCTCGCCCTCAGCCCCACAGGGCAGCTCTCCTCCATTCCAGAGCCCAAGCCCAGGTCCAGACCCCTGCCAGGAATCCGCACCCATGGTTGCCCGGCCCCCGCACCTGCAGTAGCACCTGCCCACGTTTCCTCCGTGCTCTCTGGTCTCCCCAGGGCAGCCCGGGCCTCCTCCCCTCCCCCTCTTCCCTGCCCACCTCTTGGCCCTCCTCTGTCCCAACTCCGCCTCCCTTGCCCCACCACCAGGCCTTGGCCAGTTCTGACCATGCTCCATGCTTGTCCCTCTCTGAGCTGGGAAGAACAGCCCCAACTGTGCAGCCAGCTAGCATGGAACAGCTCTGTCCCCAGAGAGAAGGCCCCGGGGCAGATGCCTCCGAGCCCTGGACACTCGGAAGTGCAACACGCAGCCATACAGAGCCCACCCCCAGCCGGGCAGGGGTTCCTGCCCAGACTGGCATCTCCACCTCCTCCTGGGTCACACTCTGCACAGCCACGCTGGGCAGCAGATATGCCAGGGCAGGGTGGAAGCAGAAAGTCCATGCCATCTTCACAGGACAGCAGGGACATGGGGCTCCCGGGGGCAGGAGCACAGGGCAGCAGCACAGGACTGTGCTGCCAGGATTTAGGAGAGCAGGCCAGGCCAGCTCGGCCACCTGGGGACGCCACGGTCCCTCTCTGAGCCTCAGGTCCCTCCTCTGAAATTGACACCAGGATCTCTTCTCAGGAGCGCTGGGCCAGTCAGCCAGGCCGTGGGTGCTTTGCACCAGGAAGGTGCCATCCTCTGCCTAGCAGGGTCCTTCGTCAGGAGCTCGGGCCGCCTAGTGGACAGAGCTCATGTGCCGCACAAATAGGCCAAGACACGGGCTCCCATCCAGTAAGCCTTACCTTGCTACGATTTTCATGATAAAAATTAAGATGTAGCTTCGCAGAGGTGCACAGAAGTCCCAAGGGGCTGGTGCCGACGATGCCTGGCTTGGACCACCCTGGGCTGGCGGCCTGGCCCGCCAGCAACAGGCAGAGTGGGCGCCAGGCCCCGGGCTCTTCCTGCGAGTGTGTAGCCGTCCCTGCTGGAGGCCGAGCAGTTTCTCCCTCCTGCTCTGAACCCGGATCAACACCTGGAGACGAGAAGCTTCCATACCATCCCCTCCCACCTGCTCAGCTCCTGGGGCCCGTGCCAGGAGGCAGTTCTCCGCAGGTGTCCAGGCAGTGTTCCGGCACAGGGCTCTGCCAGAGGGCTTGCAGGCGAGACAGCCTCGCAAGCTAGAGAGGGCATCTCCCTGAACGCAGAGAGCCCTGGAGAGCTGTGAGCACAGGCCCTCTCCCCGCCAGGAGGAGCTGTGTTCTCCTCCCAGAGTGAGGACATCCTCCTCACAGGCCCACTGGGCAGGGCTGCTGGCAGCCCCCTTATGAGATCAAGGGTTCTTGACTGCGGCCTCCTCACATGTGGCCCAGGCCTGCTCCATCTGCCCCAGGGATTGGAGCCAGAGAGACTCATGAGTGTATTTCGTGCCATGAGTAATGAATCATCAGAATGCACAAAGGCTCTTTGCTTCCCAATGGGCAGAATTATGGATCAAGACAAGCAGAAGTGATCAGTTCCGGGCCACTTGGCCCCCGGTGCCCTTAGGGTGCCAGCACTTCCCTGGGGCCCACACCTCACAATGGTCCTTCCTCTTCAACCTTCTCCTATGTCACACTCACCCTGGCCTTACAGCCCAACAGCTCTGGGCCTTGACCAGGCCAAGCAAGCTCCTGCCTCAGGGCCTTTGCACATGCTTGCCCCTCTGCCGGTACCCCATTCCCTGCGTCATCACACACTAGCTCATTCCTGTTATTTGGGGCATCTCACGCTGAACATACCCTCTTTAGAAAGGCCAGCCCTGCCCACTTCCTCCAAATAGTCATTCTCTGCCCTCATCACCTTCACCCACACAGACATATACTGAGGTCCCAGCGCTGGTGCTGGGAAGGAAAGGGCAGCGGTGGCTTGGGGGGTGCTGCCCTGCTCCTTGCCCACTGGTGGTCTTTCTCATGCACCCAGGACCTCGGAGGAGCAGCCCCCAAAATGGATTACATGCGCATGGACTTAAAATTTCGTGTCAGCTCTGGATGCGTCTGATTTCATCTTCTCCATTACATTGTAGCTTCTTGAGGGCAAAAAACAGTGCCCGGGATTCATGGAGGGAAAAGCATGAGAGGCTCTGCAGGGGCAGAGGGTCAGTGCGACACCCACGTGACCTCCCCCAGGGGTGCAGCGGGAGCGTCCTAGGCCCAGGGTGGTCAGGGGGCTTCGGAAGTCACCCTCAAAGCTAAGCTGGCCACCTGCAGATCCGCCCCCCAGGGACGGCCTGCCTCAGTGCCCCTCTGCGCTGGGAGCAGCTGCGGGGGCGGGGCATCAGCACAAACACGTCCATGGATTTCGGCTGGACCCTGGGCCCATTACACAAGCTGTAGTTGAAGTCCACAAGCCGTGTCCCGTGGCCGGCCCAGGCGTTTGCACACAGGCAGTCTCCCCACTGACACGAGTCCCGAGGGAGCAGGTGCAGAGCCGGCATGCAGAGACCTATCTGAGGAGCAAATGGAGCTTGTGACCCTCCCATCCTGTGTGTGCCCCCCCCCCCACAGCTGCTCCACCCTGGGGAGCACAGCCTCCTTCCCACCCCAACGCAAGCTCGGCCGCGTGGCCCCCTCAGCCAATGGCCACCTGGCAAAGGCTGGAAGCACACGTGCCTGGGGCCGGTTCTGCCTGGCTGCCAGCAGCCTGGCACACCTTCACGTGCCCGTGGGCTGGCCTACCAGGTGGAGGGACGCATGCCAAGTGGGCAGTGGGCGGAGGAGGCAGGCCATGTAGAGCGCTCAGCCCCCACCAGGCCAGCTGCTGGCTGCAGGGACCGGCAAGCCCGCGAAGGCCAGAGAAGGTGTGCACTCAATCCAGAGATCACGAGCCGGAGGAGCTAGTCGGCGCTCTACGCTACTAGGTCGTGAGGGGTTTTTACACAGCTGAAGCCGATCCGCACAGTCTTCTCTTCCCTGGGTCTCTGTTCGCCCTGGAATGCAAGACCCCGGTCCTGTGGGACGTGCGCCTCTGGGGCAGAGCGCTGGGCTTCCCCTCCACCTGCACTCTCCTTCACCAAACGGGCAACGTCGGGGGTCAGGTTTGCTCGGGATTAGGGACTCCACAGTTCCTGCGATGTAACAGGTGCCGCTGCCTCTGCCGCGTGTCCCCTGACTTTCCACCGGAGGACAGGCGGTGCAGTCACTTCCACGACCCCGTTTCCTCAGCCCCACTGAAGGCGCTGAGGGGGGATCACCGTGGGGCAGGAATGGCAGGTGGGAATGATGGCGCCGACACTCTCAGCTGCGTCACTTGGTATGGCAGCCCTCCCTCCCTTCTTCGTAGAATCTCTGGGGACTCTTAGGTGCTTTTCATTCCATCAGAACACTTCCCAGTTCAGCCCTTGGGAGCCCCAGCCGCCCGGCCCTGTGTCCCCGGATGTGTGCCCATTGGCCCTCAAGGGCGTCTGCACCTCTGGCTCTCTGATGCCCCAGGCTCGTCGTGGCCCAGATCTGGAGTCAGCTCTCTCCCAGGCCTGGCCCTGCCTGTAGGGTGTGCTCCAGGGCCCTGGCGTGCTCCTTGCTGCTGGGTATCGCTGTTTTTAGCTCCATTCAGTGCTCAGAACTACAAAATGGGTATTTTATCTTTGCTCATGGGCTCTGCTCCTGCTTCCCATGCACACACAAGCCCCCTGGGTCTTCACCTTCCCCTGCTCTGTGCCTGAGCCCGCGTGTCCCACCACCCGTAGAAAGAGGCCTGCTTCCCAAGCGGATCCTTTACTTCCTCAGGAGATGGACCCCCAGGACACATACAACAGCCCAGACCCACTGCGCCGCTCCTGTTACCCCCAGGAAGAATAAACCCAGAAAGGGAAGCTCGAGATTTCCTCAGCTGGAGAACCACATTCAAAAAAAGTGCTTGGATTCTCTCTTCTGTCGAAATAAGTAAACGCTACCAGTTTATTTAGGTTCATCAGTTCATTTGAATTCAATTTTAGGTTTTTTTGTCTTTATGGGCTTAATTTTATCTTCTGAATATGAAACACAAGTACATGGTTCAAAAGTCAAAGCATGAAGAAGATGCTCAGAGAACTCACTGTGCCCTGACGGGCACCACAGCACGGCCGTGGGCTCCCTTCCCCCCTTTTCCTGAGCCTCTCGCTCTCTCTCCCTCCGGACAGGCAGATGAAGGACAGAAGAGTGTGTGCACACAGTTAGCTCCCGTTACTTTACTCCCAAGTGGTGGCAGCACAGACTCTCTTTCGCATGTCGCAGACGCCCTGAGCCACCGCAGGCCTTGGAGCCCTGCCGGACGTCTGTCGCACCTACACTGTTCCACTGGGTGTGGCTCTGCTGGCTGGCCCAACCGCTCCCCTTCACGGCCACTCTGCTTGTCCGCTGTGACACCCAGGCCCTGGGGTGTCACCACCTTATGTCCATTGGGGAGAGGTGCAGCTTTGTCAGAGGCAAGTCCTAGAAATGGGGCCACAGGGTCAAAGGGTAAATACCTACATAATTTTGTCAGACGGTGCTGCCCTCTGCTCCCAGGGGTTGTATGTTTCTCCCTCTCACCATCGTGCGAGGACAGAGCCTGTTTCCCAAGGCTGTCAGCCAGGCACAGCCACAATTCTGAATCCTTGCTAATCCGCTGTAAGGGAAAGCAGTTTATATTTGCATTTCTCTATTATGAGCTTCTTTCCGTATGTTGAAGAGACACTTACCTATCTTTTTCTGCAAAATGACCCACTTCTCTATGGAATGCTCAGCTTTGTATTCACTGCATGTTAATAGGTCACACACACCAGGAACGGGAGGGCATCAGAAACGCCCATAAAAGGCAGAGAAGGCAGATACCCTCCCCAGAGGGCAGAGCGCAACTGCTCCCCAGGCAGGAAGACGGGGCGTATCACCTCGGCTCTGCACGGGGCAAGGGGGGAACCCCAGCCAGAAGCCCAGCTCCCACCAGAATTCACATTTGCTGGGTGACTAAAAGCCAACCACACATTCAGTTTCGAACAGTCAAACTCTGGGAGAAGCAAAGGCAGATCGTCCCAGGAGAAAAGCATCTAAACCCCGGCTTCCCGCAGAGAGGGCGGAGGACAGGCTTACGTCAGAGCTCCCCAGCGCGTCCGGGAAGGGCCGCCCTAAATGAGCCGGCAGCACCCACAGGCAGTCGGGCCGGACGCAAAGACAGAGGTGATCAGACGGACACAGCAACTAAACGCCAAGCCCACCAAGTACGCTTGAAAAAATAAGAGCATCCGACGCGCGATGGAAGAATCGTCGAGACTGCGGAGGCAGCCGTGAAGGAGAGGGAGGCCAGGTCCGGTCCGGGTCAGAGCCTGAAATGGGTTAGAGACCCAGCTGACCATAGGATTGGAAAACTGAAGGTGGGTCAGAACACGCACAGGGGAGGATCCAGGACCTCACGTCAGCAGGTCCCGCGGAAGTTCAGGGGGAGCCGATCTGACGCTGGGTCCCAGCAGCCCACCTGCGATGGGAGGAGAGCCACCAGTCAGACACCTGCACCCAGGGGCCCAGGGGAGGGAGCGGGAGCAGGACAGGAAAGGAGAGCCAAGCAAGGCTGGGCCCCTGGGCAGTGCTGGCCCCAGCCGGACCCCATGGGGGTCCTGGAGGATGAAATCCCCCTCAGAGCTCCTCCTCCCCCAGGTGGGCCCCTGGGACGCAGACTCCCAGCTGGACAGCTCCACCCTCTGGGACATCCCCCAAGGGGCCCAGGTGCACCCCTTGCTGGCAGAGGGGCCCTGGGAGTGCAGAAGGGGATTTGGGGATCTGGGTGGGGCACCCAGAGCGGGGAGGGTGGGCAATAATCTAAGGGACTGTCACAGCTGAGACTTCCCCATGTTATTGCAAGGACATGAATTCTGACAAAGAAACCCAAACCCATACGCAGGTGCATCAAGGGAGGCTGTGACCACTGGAGGGCAAAGGGGAAATTAGCACAGACCTGAACCCCAGGGGCCTCACGGAGGCAGGCTGGGAGGGGACAGGGCAGTAGCACAGCCCGCAGGCTGCGGGAGAGACAGGGTCACAGTGTCACATCAGGCCTGGGCCCCTCTCCCCACCAGAAGAGGGAAGAACAGGAGCCGCAAATCATATGCAAAAGGGGGTCTGGCCTGGGGTCTGCAGGTACCGCCTGAGGGCTGGGTATTGGGAGCCAGCAGCAAGGAGCCACCAACTCATTCTGTGACCTCGGTCCTGCGAGGGGCTCGAGAAGATGACTGACGTGGGCCCTGGGCAGAGAAGGACTTGGGGAAGCACAGGGAAGTGTGGGCTCCTAGCGACGACACAGCCCTGAGATCGCCGACCGTCACAAACAGACCGGACCATGTAAGACTTTAATGATGCGACACACCCCCACGTGGGGACTGCCGGATCATCTTCCTGATTTTTATGTAAATCTAAATCTGTAAAATAAAATAATTCTTTTCAAAAGCTAACAGCTTTGCAAACAACCTCCCGCTGGACATCCCCAGAGGGTCCCCATCACCGGGAACAAAAGCACACCCTGACCAGCCTCCCCTGGGCTCTTTAGCCGCAGAGGCCCTGCCCAGCTCCTGCAGACCTGGACACGCCACCCCAGTGTGACGCCCGCGGGTCCAAGACCACACACACGGAACACGGCCGCCGGGCTCACCAACCTCTGCACCGCGTGCCTGCGCACACCTGACTCACCTTCCAGCCCAGAAGCCTCACCTGGTACATCTGACCTGGGCTTCAAGAGTACCTGAGAAAGGTCTGGAAGGAGGGTGCCCTGGCCGCACTGCCCAGGCTGGTGGGCCCTCAGGGGAGGCACAAGCACCCCTAAAGCTCCTGGTGCAGCGGCACAGCCTCCCTGGCCTCATGTGCCCAGAGCACTTCCACTGCCACCACGATGCAGGGGCGATTAAGCGGATTGGATGTTCTGGAGAGCAGACGTGAGTGCTTCAGACGCCGGCTTTAGATAACGAGGACAGCCAGGTTTTTACTTCATCCTGCTTGGACTGTAATCTGCGAGGATGTCACTTGGAGCATTTTCTCTCTGAAAGAGTGACAACGGGAGGTTTGCACCCCACTCCGGGCCGCTGTGTCCGTACGGGGAATCTGCACGTTGCCACTGCAGAGCCTCTCGCTGGGTGGGGGACAGTGGGGAGGCCCAATGGGGCACGCAAGCAGGAAGGGTAAACCTCAGCCTCGGACAGAAGGGCCTCGGGACCGGCTTGTCCACCCTAAGGCAAACCCCTACTGTCCACCACCAGGCGTGGCTCGTGCACAGGAGACAGGACTGTCCTCCCTGGGGGAAGCTGCCCCTCCCTGCTGACCCCAGGTGCAGAGGTAAAGCCCCCAGTAGGGAAACAAAATTCGAGGAACATGGGGTCCCTGTACCCACTCCTGAGGCTCTTTCTACCGCTCTTTCAACTCCTGTCCTCTGCTACCTCCCTCAACCCATCCCCACGCAGGAGGCTGGGATGGGGAAGGGGGGTTCCATCCACATGTTCGGCCGAACCCCCAGCCCGCCCCACCCTGGCTGCCCCCGCTTCAGCTCAGCTCTGCCCTCTGCCCAGCCTCTCGGGAATGCAGGGCCTCTCACATGGTAGGCTCTGGGGACCCCTCACTCTGCATGGAAACACTAATCTAGGTTCTACAGCTATGTGGGTATGAAGGTGACCACAGCCCAGGCTGGATCATGCTCTCCTATGAGCTTAAAAGGATCTGAAACATTTTCGTGGCCCTTCAATGTGTCAAGGCTGCTGGTGCTGAGCCCGCCATGCCCAGCCCGGAAGTAGCCCCAGAAGAGGTGGTCCTGCGCTTGCCGCCACTGCCTGCCTTCCTCATTGAGTTCAGGGCTCAGAGGGAAAAGCAGGCAGGTTACTGGGCCCTCAGAGACCCTGTGCCTCACCAACCGCATTGCGGGGCTGTGTGGGCAGCCAGCCCACAGCACAGGGGATGCATGCGGCACCCGAGGACCGGAGCCTGCCCTCCGACAGGCTGTCCCTAGCCCCTCGTGGCTCAGCAGGACAAGGTGGCGTGGGGACAATCCCAGGGGAGGCCAAGCCTGCAAGCACATGCCCGGGTGTTTGCAGGGAACACAGGCTCTGCCAAGGCGATGATGGAAACAGTGACTCACAGCAGGAGCCACCCCAGGCCCACCCCCCTCCAGGTGAGGCAGAAGGTGACACGGCAGTCATTCCCCGCAAGGAGCCGCCCCTTGCCTCCAGCACCCACCCTCCATGCAACATTCCAGAAACAGCAAAGCAGCCCCCCACCCCGACCCCAGCTGCAGCGGTCTGCCGGGCGACGCACTGTGGCTCTGCTCCCATGCGTGTCCCTGGTATGAAGCCTCCCCAGGGGGTGTGATCTGTGCCCCAGGCAGCCGGGGTCAGAGCTGTCAGGTCGCGGAGATGCCGGGGATGCGCGCTTCCATCTGCACCCGCTGGCCTTCCCCGGAGGTGGCTGTGCAGGGCGGAGGCACAGGTGGCTCCTGCAGAAGCTCTGCCCTCGCTGACGGGGAGCTGAGGTTCAGGGGGCTCTCCAGGACTAGGGCCCAGTCACTGCTTCCAAGAGCCAGGTAGCTCCCCTCCCGGTATGCCCACCTGGGGCCTCAGGGTGGTCCTTCTCCTTTTCTGAAGCAGCAGGAGGTGGCTTGTGGGCCCCTCACTGCCCAGGAAGGAGTTGGAAGGAGTTCTGACCCACGGCACCACTCAGCCCTTGGGACCTCCCCGCAGGCTGTTCTGGGCACCCCCTGCCCCACGTGGAGCCGGTAAGCACAGGTCGCCCAGGTAAGCTCCAGGGAAGAAGGTTCTTGTTGTCACTGAGCTCATCTGTGCTGGGGTCACCATCCCACGCTGAATCTACCCTTTTTGGTGACCAACTACCCGGTCCCCCTTCTGCCCATCTCCTGTGTCTTAGGACTTAAAGTCCATCTAAACCCAGTGAGGAGAGAGAAGCCATCCTCCTCCCAAACCCCCTCACCAGCTGGCAGGCAGGAGGGCCTGACCCCTGAGGGTGCACTGTGTCCTTGGCCGCACGGCCCTTCCCACTGGCCTCTGGTAGCTCGGGGTGGCTGGTCATGGACAGACTGGCCGCTGTGGCTCAGAGAGAACTGCGAACTGAATGATGCCAGGCAGAAGCTCTGCACGCACGCAGACCTGGGCTGACCTGCCTCTTCCAGCTGTGTGTCCTTGAGCAACTTTCTTCACCTCTCCAAGCCTCCGTCTGCCGCTCTGTAGAAGAGGGCTCAAGGTGTGACGACTGTTAGCAGTGACATCCACTAAGGTCTGCTTTGCTGCACATGACAGAGCCATCCCAGCACCAAGGCATCAGCAGCACAGAAGCATCTTTCCTTCGTGAGAAAGTCTGAAGGTGACTGCATCCAGGCAGTGAGGCTGCTCCACAACGTTCTCAGCGACCCAGACTCATTGATCTTATGGGCCGAGGGTCAGCCCCTTGGCCCCACTTAGCTGCCAGGAAGGGAGGCTGGGAAATGCCATCTCTCGCTGTGCTCAGCTACCTGCTCAGCTACAACTCAGGGTGTGCTCAAGGGAGGGAGGGGAGCGGGGTACGCACCAGTTTGAGGCAGGCCCACAGTTACAGACGCTGCTACTGCTGACGTCCCAGGACCGCCCACAACACAGCCTTCCCGCTGCGGTCAGCTCGCACCTCCCACCCCACACACGCCAGCCCCCAGTCCAGGGGCAGGGCCTCGCTGCAGCCTGGAGAAGCCAGGCAGCACAGGGATGACAGCCACACCCACAGCACCAGCTGAAGCATGGGGCTGGTGGGCACAGCCCAGGGTGAGGACAGAGTGAGTGACTGTTAGTTTCCCAGGACCGCAGTGACAATGTACCACAGGCGGTGGGGGGTGGGAGGGGCTTTGGCAACAGGTCTGCGGGCAGAAGTCTGAGGTCAAGGTGTCTGCAGGGTCTGCACCCCTCCCCGGCTGCCAGTTTGCTGGTGGCCCTCGCAGCACCTTGAACCTCCACCTTCATCCTGTGTGTGTGTCTATGTCCAAACGTCCCCTTGTTATAAGGATGCAGGTCATACTGGATTGAGGCCCACCTGCTCCAGTGTGACTTCGTCTCAACTAACCTATTAGCAAAGACCTTATTTCCAAATACGGTCATGTTTTGAGATTCTGGGGATTTCATATGAATGTGGGGGGAATTTTCTAAGGAAATGTGAGATTCTAGAGGTTACATCTGAATGTGGGGGGCACTATTCAACCCGTAACAGCAGATGGATAAACACCAGCACATCACTCAGTTCTGACAAATGCAAATCCCATTATGGCTGCCGCCCCAGGCCTCCCCTCAGCCCCTGCTTGTCGGTGCCCAGCGCCACACACCCCAGAGGCAAATGGTGTCCTGACTTTCCTCGCCTGAGATTACGCGGGCTGCCCTAGAACCTCAGATGAGTCGGGTCCACCGAGCTGGCTGGTGTGGGTGCACAAGCACCCGCTGTTACTCATGTACCAGCCACCAGCCCACCACCACCTGCAGCCCAGGATTTCCAACCCGGAGGAGCTGCTGGCACAGCTGCCAGATGGGAGCACATTGTGTTAAGGGCCTCCAGCCCCATCTCAACAGGTCCTCCCAGGAACCATGGCCCCGCACACCTGCAGCCTCCTGCAAGTCTGGGAAATGCATCCTGGCGAATACGAGCAACAAAATACAAGCATACTCTCCCCAGACCAGTGGACCTGGTCATCCGGGGCCCAACATGAGCTTCAGCGCTGCCGGAAGACTGCAGCAGAGTGGGCATTCCGGGAGGGCACAGTGTCAGACGGGGGGCTCTAGACCTAATTCAGGAAAGAAATGAAAGAAAAGGACGAACCGTTTTCAGAAAAGAAGCGACAAATTTACAAGTAAGATGAGAGGGTGGACACCATGGAGCATTTCAAAAAAGAGAAAAGTGGACACACAAAATAGGAAAGAGATTCACAGGCTTCACAGAGAAAATGATAACTCTGAAAGACAGGTTAAAAACCCCAACATACACCTAACTGGAGGTTTTCAAAGTGATAATCAAAACTGTAATAGAGCAGAACAAGTATTTAAACTACTCTTCAAGAAAGCTTTCTTGAAATAAAGGAGGACTTGTACGTACATTTGAAAGTCATTCCATGAACCTGGGTCGCCTGGCCCGGAACAGGCAGGAGCCGGACCGAGCCTGGTAAAATGAGTGGCTTTAAAGGCAGGGAAATGATCCTCTGGGCAGCTGCACAGAAAGACCAGCATTTTATAAAAGAAAGGAAACTAAGTTGAAATCAGACTTTTCAACAGTAACAGCAAATAAGAGCAATACCCAGAAGAAACTTGGGGGTAAACTGTACTCCCCTAAAATACATGCTGAAGTCCCAGCCCCAGGACCTGTGAATGGGACATTGTTTGGAAATAAGGTCTTTGCAGACATAATCGTGTTAAGATGAGGTCATACTTGACTAGGAAGGGCCCCAATACAATAGGACTGGTGTCCTTATAACAGGGAAAAACACACCACGGACACAGGAGAAGGCATGTGACAACAGACGCAGAGACTGGAGTGCTGCAGCCGCCGGGAGGGCCAGGACTGCCACTACACCCCGGCTGAGAGACAGGCGTGAAACAGGCGCCCCTGGAATGCCAGAGGGACCGCAGCCAGGCCGACACCTTGATTTCAGACTGTGAGAGAATCAGCGTCTGTCGTTTGAAGCCACCCCATTTGTACTTGGCTGTGGGAGCCCCAGGGAACAGCTCCCAAGGAAAGGCATGCAAGCCAAGGGCCTCATGTCTGCCCCGCTGTCCTCAAGAGCAAAGGCCGCAGGGCAGTCTGAACAGGCCCGTATTCGGGAAGTCCAGCACACAGGACCAGCCTTGGAGGGGCTCTCAAGAATGAGTTCCCCCTCTGAGGCAGGCAGAGGGAATCTTGCAAAGGATCCGCACAGAGCACTGAATGCGATCAACTGAGGACATTAAACTATCAAAAGTTGGGAAGAGAAGAGCAAAGTGGGAACTGAGTGTGGGCATGGCGTGGCGCACTGAGGCAGCGATAATAAGCCAGCGCACTACGGAAGGAGCCAGGGGCCAGAGGAAAGCGAGCTGGCCCCAGCCGGCTCCCAGGAAAGGCTGGAAGTCAGAGGACAGCAAAGCTGACCAACAGTCAGCAGGACAGAGGCAGGCCCTGAGAGACACCCAGGGCCGGTGGAGGGGGCAGGAGGGATACGGACGTACAGGCCGGAGCAGGCAGGGTGCCCTGGAGGAGCCTTCTGAGCTTCCCTTGAGTGGAGATGGCCGAGCACACACCCAGCAGGATGAACACAGCCCTGGCGTCCCTCCCCATCCCGCGTGAGACCCTCCAGCCCAGAGACACCCCTACCCATCCTGGCCTAGGCTTTGCCCCCATCTCCATCCTGTGTCAAGTAATGTCCCAGATACACGGCCTTGGGGACCCATGGGAACTGAAGGGTCTGGGCTTCTCCTTTATAGGTCCCCAGGCCCTCCCACAGCCCCAGGACCCCAGCATGGAAGGCCCACCGGACCCAGGCTGTCTGCCCCAGGGCAGGGCCCAGGGCTATCGCAGCCCACAGAGGCTTTGCCAGGTGAGGGTTTCAGAACCCCATGCAGCCCCTTCCTCCCCACTTGACCTTGAGCAGCTACGGCGAAGCACACTGGGGCTCAAGGGGTCTCAGCTCTGAGAGGCAGAGGGCATCCTAGTGTTGGGGAGAAGCAGGCCTAGCAAGTGGGGCCCCTCCAGGGACGAGGGCGGTCACCAGGCTGGCTGGCACACTGCCACTCAGGAAATCCATGCCCACGGGGCTCCAGCACCCTCCAGGCCACCAGGGGCAGAGGGGCTGGGGGCTGGATGGTGGCTTCCTTCCCCACCACCTGCTCTGAGGCACACACAGATGCCTGCTTGGCCCCTGCTGAGCTTCCAGCTGTTTGGGGCAAGTTTCCCTGGGGGGACCCAGGACGCAGCCCTCGGGGACCAGCCCTCACCAGGCCTAGGAAGGCGGTAAAGGGCCGAGGCAGCGGAGACAGGCCCCGTGCTCAGCAGCCTTCTGTCTGGGAACAAGGTCTGCTCTGAAGTGCTGGCCACTTTCCGGGTGCAAGACCCCCCACCAGGCCTGATCTCAAGCCCCAGTGTGGTCCCCCGCCAGTGGCTCTCACTATAGAACTCAGCCTGGAATTTCATTTGAAATTGTCATAGTGAAAAGTAGGAGGGAAAAAGCCATATCCCCTACAGAAATAATGTTTGTATCGTCCCATACACTGGGTGTGCCCACCTTTTCCACCCCCTAGGCACCACCTTCCAGAACCAGCCCCCCAGCTCCCTGACAGCTAGGAAGGTAGGACAATGTCTTCCCAGGTGGCTGGGCAGGAACACAGGGACCCGAGTGTCCCCACCACACAGGCCTACACTGGCAGCCCCAACCTGTCCAAACCGCTCCCCTCTGGCCCCTCCCACCCTCCGTCCCAGGCTGGTCCAATGCTCAGCTCCCTGGAAGGGCACAACCCGGGGAGAGGTCAGGTCGCCGCCCACCTCAGGAGGGCACCTTTGCCCCTGCAGCTTCTGCCCCACCAGAGGCTGCACAGTCCTGTCTCCAGTCCCTGCAGGACCTGGAGCAACTCTGGCTGGGCCCACACACCCACCCAGACCCACCCCACCCCTCAGGACCCCCGCCATACCACTTACACTTGAGCACCCACCATATGGGGCCAAGGATGAGAAAAGATCCCAGCCCCCTTTACAGAGGAGCAGACCAGCTCAGAGAGGTTAGGTCACAGCCCGGGCTGCACAGCCTGGAAGCCGAGAAGTGGGGAACTGAGCCTACACCCAACCACCTTCTCCCAGGAGCCCAGTCCAGCTGACACGCCAACACAAACCCCAGCTGGGGAGCCAGGCCTTGAGGGGCAGCCTGGCCAGGGCACAGAGCCCTGACTTAGAGCCACAGATAGGCTCTTACCTCAGCCCTGCCTCCAGTGCACTGTGAGCCCAAGGGGTGTAGCTGGGCGCCAGGCAGCGGCTGCACCCCGAGTCCTGCGCCCCCCACAGCAACCTGGCAGCCTGGATGTCACACGCAGTTACATCACCCCTCAGAAGATATGAGGAGGCCCTCGAGGGCTCATTGGGGCAATTTTCTTTATAGTCTCACAGATCTCAACAGGTTCTGCCAAGTGAGCATGTCCTGCACCGGAATCTTGCTGCAGGCTTGGAAGGCCCCTCCCGCCTGGAATGACAGATTGCAGATAAGCTGAGGCAGCCCTGGGGCTGGAGGTCCCGGGCCTGCAGCGGTGGGTGGCAGGTGCTCTAGGGTGGTGGGAATGCTCCCGGTTAAGCGACAGCAGTTCAGGGGCCTCTCCACACCCCCATATTCTCATCTTAAAATGGGGGGGGGACATACCTATCCTTCTTAACTCTCAGAAGCTTGGGATGAGGAAATAAGACAATGACTTGGGGAGGCAGAACCCCTCTGCACACAGGAGGTAGGCTTTGGCACAGCAGTGGGATTGGAACCCTGAGCTGCAGTGCTGGCCTGACCACTGAGGTGGACACAGCCCACGCAGGACACAACCCATCCGTCTGTGAAGTGGGAGTGAAGCTGGCCCTGCCTCAGGGGTGGAGTCCAAGCTGCTTCCCTGACAGCCAGACCACAAAGGGCTGCTCTGTCAGCCACCTGTCGGGGTGCAGGGCCCCATCCCAGGACGACCCACGGCCTCGTGAGTGAGTACAGTCATTTGCCAGGCCCTCCGCCACCCGCCCCAATGGGCAGGAGGCAGGCACGGGGCGGGCAGGGGGAAACTTGGGTCCAGTTTTCATGGGGTCTGAAGTTTACACAGTTTGGGGCTCTATCTAAAGAAAAGAATACAAACTTAGAGAAACAAAAATTAGGTATGAAAGTGAATGTTTATTTAGAGTGAGAAAAAAAATTAAGACAAATTACAAGTTTTAAAAATCTAACAAATACCACAAACATATAAAACATGGGAAGCAGCATAATCTTGTTATTCATGGGCTGCCTGATCCATGTCCACAATACTTTTCCTTGCATTTTTTTGGCCACATAGTTTTGAGTCATCTCAGTGTCTGGCGATGTTATATCGTGTTTGATAGAAGGAATAAAGGTAGAAATAGCTTCTTTCCAGCATATGGTTGATCGAAAATTTTTTTTTCTGATTTGTGGTCGGAATGCATAAAAGGGGGCTCCCCGCCAGTGGGTGCCCTGTGTGCAGAACAGCTGAAGTTTCTTTTTCCCTGAACAACAGGAACTCTGAACACTTCTTTTCATAAGATTCCTATTTTTTAAAGAAGGAAATGCATGGTGCACAATTGCAACTGGCTACAACGCCTCTCGGGCAGCGCTTCCCTCTGACG